ACTCGACTATATATGTATACAACTCTGATCATTCATGTCTGACGCAGGATTAGCTCGAGCAAAACTTGGAGTTGGTGATTATGATCTTTCCTCTAATAGCTAGGCAAACGGGGTGACTGTGCAAGATAGATTAGCCATTATTTTGAACATGATGACACGCGAGATATTCCATAAGTGGTTGTATTTTTTTTAGCAAGGGTAACTGCAGCATGTTTGTCATAAAGTATATTGAATTTTTGAGTAGAGCACATAAGGTTGATAGAATCAACTAATCGAGATAAATTCAGAGGAATAAATTAGTGTGCGATTTATATTAATTTAATTGTGATTTGTAATATTGTGTATTTTTTTGTAATTATGAGATAATTTTAAATATTGTCAAATTTATGTAAATGTTATACGTTGATTTTTTTTAATTATGAGATAATTTTAAATATTGTCAAATTTATGTAAATATTATTTGTTGAATTTTTTTTACAATTATGAGATAATTGTAAATATAGTCAAATTTATGTACATATTATACGTTGAATAAGGTATTTAAATATTAAATAAATGATATACATAACCAATTAAAATAATTAGTGAAATATTTAAATAAAAAATTATATTAAATATTAAATAAATTAAGTAATTAAATTAAATGAATTTATGACTTGCGTATAGTAGTTATATACCATTTGAATGTGAATCCAATAAGAAGAACATACCAATTTAGTGTTAAAATCACGTGTCATAACCTTGAAAAAAGTTTTGCTGCTTGAAGATCTTCTAAAAACTATTATTCAAAATTTTTCACTATTAATCTTGAATGCGCTTAAGCAATGATTTTATTTTCAAATTTATGTAAAACATTATACATTGAATATTTAAAATAATTATGAGATAATCGTAAATATTATCAAATTTATATAAAAATCTTGACATAGCATGATTTAAAACCATCAATTTAAATTTAACATGGGACGTAAAATGCTCGAGTAAAAAAAAAATATTAAATAATGAATTATTCCACTAAATAATCAATGGTAAATTTAGATGCCTGTACGAAATAGTAAATATAGAGTTAAGGTATTGCATTACACATCAGTTGTTATGTACAGAAATCTGACTTGTACAAAATCAGCAAGTATGCCCTGTTGCGCACACCTATCGCATTTACGAAGTTGAGAAAATTCTCCAATAGATGATATTCTAGACGTGCATCTATGTCCAATAGTACGTGGTCTAACTCCGGGTGGCAACACATTATTAAGTGGGAGAATGTGGTCAAGAACTTCCCACTTAACTTCATTTGATACAGAAAATATCGTTTCAATATACGATGCTCTCCAATAATCAGCCATATAATAATAACTAAATAAGGTGTGTGCTGAGAATCCTGTATGCATAGCCACTTCCACTGAATGCGTACATGAAAAACTTTCCAACTGGAACTTTCTACACGTACACGTGTTATCATTCAAGTCCACGATATATTCGATATTATGTCCACATCTCACGGAGAAGCGAACTGGTCCAGTGGTTCCACACAAACGTTTCTCGCCATCTCTAAAATCTTGAAGAGTTTATCTTCCTAAGACGAGGTTAGCACATTTGTACAACTCTGTGATTCTTCACGTCGATCGTGAAATCACTACTATAGTTTGTTATAAACGTGCTCAATCATTGCGAGAATTGGTAACTCTCGATCATTCTTGAATAATGCATTGAGTGACTCCGCATTATTCAACGTCATCATATTGTATCGACGTTCTGAAAAAATGTGATCGTGCCTAATGTTCGATCCCCATTTCTGTTAGATACTCTCATGCAACATATAATTTACTTTCTATTTCGACCATAAACTTATCAAACTCTTCAAAATTGTAAGCTTTTGTAGCTCTCCTAAACAATGCAACCACGCCACTGTCCCGATACTTAGTTTTTAGGTTGTCATGTATATGGTTATACAACAACCGAAATGTGCCTCGAGAAAGACTTTGATGATACCATTTATTATTGATTGTACTCGGTCAATTATGAATGCAAGGTTCTCGACATCCTCAATTACTTTCCTTAACTTTGTGAAGAACCAACGCATCGCTAGATCATTATCTCCGTTGATTATGCTGAATGCAAGAGGGTAAATTTAGATGTTGGCATCTTGACATGTTCCAATAATCAACTTACCTTCGTATCTAGTCTTAAGGGTTGTACCGTCGATTAGAATTAGGGGTCGCATCGCATTTTGAAATCCTTACTTGAACCGATTCTCGCCTTCCGTCTCAATAAAAAATGCCGATTCAGGATTAATTCTCTCTATGTTATAGCAATACCTGGCCAATTTAGTATAATTGTCCTCAACCGAACCGAATAAGTCTTCCAATACGCATTCATTGGCCTTCCAGTCCTTCTGATAGTTCATAACCACCCCATACTCTCGATGAACATCTTTAATATTTTCTTTAGGTTTATAGATTGTTCGTGGGTCTTGAAACTTGTGAATTATTTGTCGATCAATGAATCATGCTCTGGCTTGCCTATGATTATTTCGTCGTATACTAACTTAACATGTATGTTCTCGTGCATACTTACAAACTATAAAGAACTCATTCGTGCTCATTTTCATCGCTCACAAAAGTCAACGACAACTGTTGCCAATGCAGATAACTGTGTACATCAACTTGTTTGATTTATTTACTTTAAACTCAGAGTTGTGTTTCAAAACAATTCGATGCACAGCTTCCTACAAAATATTTCTTTGTTTCAAACAATTGCTCGACCTACAAATCTTCATCATCAAAAACTACACGCGAATAATTGGAGGGCTATATACTTGTTCTAGCTTGTGAGCTTCCACCGACTCATGTCTTTGATGAAATAACCTAATCAAATCCTCATTTGTAAATTTATTTTCATTCTCGTTGTCTTGAACTATTGAGAAAATTTTGTGCGTTACAGTGAGATCATGGTAAGGAACAAGTGTTAGGGGAATAGTCACATCATCTTTACGAACTAACAAGTGTTAGGGGAATAGTCACATCATCTTTACGAACTATCTTCAACATGTCTCAAAAATTATTCACATTACGATCTCCTCTATCGAAATTTTTGTGTTCACTCTCGGGAACATTCTTCTTAACTAAAGTTACGCAAATAGAAGACGTGCAATTTTGGTTTAATTCAATTAAAACTTTAATCTTAGCTTTGGAAGTAACCATTACAGATGGAATTGAAATGTACGTATGCTCGTTGAATAGAAATCTCAATTCCATGTCTACTGAGAGGTATCAACATTGAGCTTGTTTTGTAAATAGTGATACATTTTTCTGTATATGATGTACTCGATCTTATCACAATTGCAATAGCACTACGTCTTTCACTTGTCCATTTCTACACCCATCGATCATTTTCGTTCATTTCAAATCCACCAAAGTAACAAATCGAGATTGCAGTTGATTCTATATCTACATTAAGCCCTTGTTTGAGCCACATTATTGGAATGGAAATGCATTTTTGAATAATGTATTGATGAAAAATGTGTGGTTAAAAAATAAGGAAAAGTTTTGAATTTACGTATAATATTATTTTATCGAAGTATGTGTGACTGAAATGATCTCAAATCACTGTTGAAAAATGTATTTTTTTTAAAAAAAAAATTGTAGCTCAAACAGGGCCTAAGAAACATAATTTGTTAAAAAAATATATCATTAAGAGATGAAAAAATGCTTCAAAAGTCGTCTAGGCCAACAAATCACCTAGTCAATTGGATCCAGCCGGCTCAAAATGGGCCGACTATTTTCGCCCGACCGTTTGGGTGACGCTAACTCAGGCAACAGGTTGACTATTGGGACTTGCTCGTATGAATTTTTTTCCGCTTTTGTTTAAAAAAAATTATATATATGTCTGAAATTGTAAAAAATTATCTGCCTATGTAAAAGTAAGATTTAATGATTAAAACAATTTACTAATTTAACAAAAACGAAATCAAAAATACGTAAATATATTTATCGATTCGAAATGCTGGCTAGAAATAATATTTTCTTACTGAGCATTTTATAAATTTATGAGATTTCAATGTTGAAAGTAGATGAAAAATGAAACAGTTTATATTTGTGTTTGAGTAAACAGATAAAAAAGTGATTTGATTTTGAAATTTTCAGTGGGAAATGTTTGTAATTCTTTGTAACTTAAAAGGGTTTAACAGTCTTTAAATAATACCATATTTTTGTAATTGTGTAACATAAGGGTAATTTTGTCTTTTATGCACTAAGAGGCCATTGTGATGAGTGACAAAAACATTTTGATAAAAATGAAAAATGGTATTATTGACTTGGCCTTTCTAAAAACTACTCCTTAACTAAAAATAGAAATAAAATCAAATAAATTATTGAATTATCATGTCCAATCAAGTTTTTAAATTTAGTCGAGCTCTAGATAATGCACTTGTTTGAGCCCCATTTTTTGGGAAGAATGAATTTTTGAATAGTGTATTGATAGGAAATGTGTGGTTAAAAAATGAAAAAAAAAGTTTTAGATTTACGTGTAATATTATTTTATTAAAGAATGTGTGATTGAAATGATGTCAAAACACTGTTGAAAAATGAATTTCTCGAAAAGAATGGAGCTCAAACAAGAGCAATATCTTTCTTCTCTATCATGTCGATTTGAAGGAAATCTTATCAGCTTGTATTAGGGATATATTTTTAAACATGATCTATTTTATTCATGTCTCAATGGAGATGCTTTAATCTCCAATCCCACCCTATTTTCTATATCATTTCAAAAATATTTGCTTATTTTGACCAATTTACCTTATTTATATCAAATTCTTGTGAATTTGCGATATTATCGATGAAATATGACCGTTAGGTGAGATAATGTAGGCCCAGGCGGCAAAAAATAAATATCGAAGCTGACAAAGTTGCCCGACCCCTTTTAATTTCAAGACGTTGGACTTTTGGAAAAAACGTCATCGATTACTAAACATACAATTTCTTCCCCAAATCCTACGCTTATCTTTACCCCACCTAGCTGTAACGTGACAAAGAAAACAAGAAGCTTCTTCTTTCATTTTTGATTTGGAGTAAATTTTACAGTCAAAAGTCCATAATCAAGATTAGACAAAAGTGAAGGTCAAGAAAACGCGTAAAAATAGAATTACTATTATATGTATATATCCATATGCACGCACGTATACACAGGCATATACATTATTGACCTTCAATTAATTTTTTTTTTTCTCTGGTTAGGCAACAAATTCGCGATTTCATTTCGAGATCTTCGTTCTTCAGGTACATTTCTTTTCTTTTCCTCATTTTTCAGTTTGGCTCCCATATCTAAGAAATTCTCTGATCCCTCTGTATATTGCAGCGTGATCAGTGGATTTTAATTTATTTTCAAGGTTTTTTTGAAGACCCATAATTGTCTTTGTGGGGAAGTAGATTGTGTTTATCATAAGAAAAAAAAGGTTGACTTTTTTGTTTTTAATTAATTGAAATGGGGAATCTTGATTTTGTTCCTTTATGAATTGGGTTTTCGATTTTGGTATTGAAGATTCGTTTTTTTTTCAGGTGTTTATAGTTAATGTACACGCCAATAGATGATAACTTTGTAGATAAAATGAAATGGGCATTGATTAGTGTGTATTTTTGAGGGATTTGTTTTAAATTTTTATCATTTTTGCATAGGAATTTTTTGTGGCTGTTGTTTTGGTTGTGGTGTCAAAAAGGTGCAAATGGGTGAGAATTTGGTGGTGCGCGTGGACCAGCTGGTGAAGCCGGAGATGGTAGGGTCCAGCCAGTTGGCTTCACCAGCTGTGGTGGGGCCCTCATCGTCAGTGGGGAAAGAGAAGGAAGTGATGGAGGAGGAGAACAATGAGGCTGCAGACGAGGAGGCACCGCTGTTAGCAATGGCAGAGTGCCGAATTTGCCAGGAAGAGGATTCTCTAAGCAATTTAGAGAGTCCTTGTGCTTGCAGTGGAAGTCTAAAGGTAAATGTTCTCAAGAATGGTCGATATTGACCTTTATATCAAGGTGATTGTACATTAATGCATATTATGTGTTGGTACAGTTTTGAATCTCAAATTGGGGTTTCAAGGTAGTAGGACTTAGCGGGGGAAAAAAAATTATCTTCAAAATGTTCAGCATTACGAGAAAAATGTATTCTTTTGCCATTTTGTGGATATAAAATTTGTCATTTGGTAAAGTTAAAATATGTTTGTGTTGGAGCTCAAGTTTGAAGCTTGAATTGTTAGAGAAATGCTTAAAATCATACAAATTCATTCTAGGTTATGAAAAATTAATCAAGTCCTCTTTGTTTATGGCAAAGACTT